TGCCATCCATAGTTATACCTACAAAATGTACTTACACAAACTCTAATTTTAGCTCTTCGTACGTTAAATCTATTAAATAAAAAAAAAAATTGCAATAAGCATCAATTTTGCTATTGACACGAGCGACATAATGTTTTTTCAACATTATGGAGAATCCGAAATTAATATGGCTACATTACCACCAAATTGGTCTAAAATAAAAATAATTATTTAACATAAAAAGCAAATTAATATCTGAGAAATCTTACAATAGCGAAGCATTGCTTACCAAATAGTTAAATGTATGTAGTATAATAAGTTCTAATTTTTTTTTTTTTTTCAACAATACAGTAACGATTTTTCACTAATATAAAAATAGTAGACTTTAATTTTATTTTTCAAAAAAAAAAAACGCTACATGCTGAAAATGGATTTGTAACTAATAGAAATGATGACGAATCTGTTTAACTATATATTATTATTTATCAAATTATATATAGTTATTATGCTGACCGAACAGCGGTTAAATCGCCAGACCGTAAAATAATACAATTTCTTAATGATTTAGTAAACACTGTTTCATTTAAAATATTTTTTTTTGGATATGAAATAACTAAGTAATGTAATTCTATATAAGATCTTTATAAAAATAACAGTTGCCTAAGTTATTATGTAGGTATAACAAATTATAACTAAACTGAATAACTTTATTTGAAATTTTATCCAAATCTCTTGCTACCGAAAAAAGGTTAGGACTATAAAAAAATACTTATTAAAGAATGTGATGTCTGGATTTCTACAGGAAAAATAAGCAATGATAATAATAATAAATTATTAAGGTCTGTCAAAATAATCGTTTTAAATAAGTTCCGCTATCACAAGATAGTGAGACTTTGGATGGATCGATTTTAATGCTGTAAAAATAATAACATTTCTTAACATCTCTGTAGAACCGTCGGAGTATTTTATTATATTATAATATCACACAAATTTCAGTTTTTACAATATTTTCGGTTAATCGTATTATGAATTGAAGAAATTAATATTCATAAAAAAAACTTTTCGCTCATTCTATAGTCTGTAGAGAAAGTCTGTTAGGATTTTTACACAATTAAAATCTCACCAACCTAAGTCTTACAATTATGTCACAGCCGAGGTATGCTTTTACACGGAAAGTAACTGAATACTTTTTCATAGTATAATTTAACCTAAGCCTTAACCAAATRCCGATATCCAAATAATTACCTATGCGACGTTTACCCGGATCGTTGGCAATTCGTTGCACGTCGACCGGATGCTGACCAATTACCTAGAAAAAATGTTCGATAATTATCATACAATATTAGTCCAATAATAATAATDATTATTATGTGTTTTTATAATACACCACTAAACTGCAAAATCACGTTTAGTCCATCATAAATCAGTCCTTAAACCAACATTTTTTTTTCTTGATTGTAATTTGGACATGTTATGAATTTTTTTACGAATTATTAACAATGGATAATACGAAAAATTGGCATATGGGTAAAAAATCAAAATTTTTTAAGAGTAAAAGCAGAAAAAATAAAGGAAATATTGCTACGCTTGGGCAAAAAAAAGGTACCTAAGTAAAGTTATTGTTTGTACGCGCGATCAAATTAAAAAAACTGACATAATCGCTTTTGGTTGGGTCACAGGTTATATTAGGTTTGATTTTACAAAATATATCATTTTCAATTAAAATTATAAAGAACAATATACATATCAAACATAAAATTCAATATTGCTAGTTAAATTATAAGAGCAAAATAATTTGATAAATAGAAAAATTTAAAATTTTGGTTATTTTTTGGCTTTTCCCGTGATTTATATATATATATATATTATAACCTAATGAGTTTAAATAATATTTTGATACATTATATGTAAGGCTCTATATAGAGCCCTTAAGTATCTAAACATTTATAATTATAGAAATATTGAGTTATGCAAATAATGGTAACAGTGAAGATTGAAGGAAATGAATAACTATTGTTGCTTTCAAATTTCAATTTTGATATAATATTATCCTACAACAAAACAGCTCATTAAACTCCGTGTAAAAAACGGCTAAGTAAAAAAAAAGTAGATCTTTAAGCAATATAAAGATGTGATATAAATGCTAAGTAAATTGAATTAAAGAACTCTTATTTTGTCTCAATAATTTATTTACTTTATGAGAAATTATTTTGAGTAGAAATGTTCGTAAAAATAGTTTAAGTTATAATGAACTTTTAATGCCTTTTGTTCATTTTTTGTCACGTTATTTCGTGTGTTGTGTCATATAAAATATCTATTTAATTTCTTGCCAAGAGAATAAATTATTTAAACAAAAGAAGAGCACTTTAATTAAATTTGCTTAACATTTATTTATATCACACCTTTATAGTGCTTAAAGATCTGATTTTTTGTTTTACTTAACCGTTTTTTACACGAAGTTCAACAAAATTTTTGTTGTGATATCACCAATTTTTTCCACAGAAATATTTTTTTTTAATTTTGCCTCTCGAGGATTATTATTAATAACAATTAAACTAATAATACTAATAACAATAAGAAATCAACAAATATAATAACATATTAATTATATCACGCGACGAAGCGATAATCGATAACAAATTACAAAATTACACTAATACGCGAATGCGAAAAAGCAACAGAGAAACGCGCCGTAATTTTCTTCACCTAATCCACCAACTATTGGACTGCGTACATGAAATAGAATGGAAGAAACTGGTCGGAACGACAACGCGAGAAGCGCCCACCATGATTCCAGATTTCATTACAATTTTTCACTAAAAAGTTTGCACGTTTCTATCAATAACTTAATTTCAACCGTGCAATTTTGGTGATTTTTTTCAAAAGGATCATCTGTAAAAATTTTCCGATTCTTGCAGTTTATTAGGTATTAATTGATTCAGTAGATAATAAGTTAGGTCCGGTTAAAAAAAAACCTAAAATGTACACTATTTAAATGGGACGGTCCTGCTTCGAGATAAAATACACTGTTGCCGTGTCGCCATTATATCTTTTTTACTTAGCTCGTGCCACGACCATGGCAAYGGATTACAGATGACCTACCTAATAATAACAAAATTCTTTATGTGGTTAATTGCTCTTTTTTTCTGAAATAAAAAAATGTGGCCTGTCCTTACATATTTAGAGAAATATTACAGTTTAGAGCAGAACATATTAAGTACAACCTCCCATAATAACTATAATTGGAATCACAAAATAATAGCAAAAGCAAAATTACAGAAAATGAATATTGAAAAATATGAAATTTAAAATTTACCACATTTATTTTACCATTGTTAATATAACGGTAATGAAAAATAATTCGCAAAATGGGGGCATAGTATACCCAAGTAATATAAAGCCTTAGTTACGACACTGATGAGGCATTATGAATAAAATTAGTTGGTAGAAATTAGCAATTAACTTGGTTCAAACAAACAACAATTTAAAAAAATACAATTTTAATTTATTCAATGTACTTCTATTACAAATAAATACTGTTCATTTAGTTTTAAAGATAATTAATGGATAACAATAAATTTTTTTTAAAACCACCCATGAGTGTAGAATTCATTATTCTAAAAGAAATTACTAACGTAATAAATAATACAAGTTACTTTATTAAAATAAAATAAAAT